AAAATGTTTAATCACATTGGACGGGTCAAGGAACAAAAGCAACGGGGAATTCTACATTATACTTTATAATTTTTATAAGAAATACGCAGCTTACATAAAAATAAAATAAAAATAAAATAAAATAAAATAAGGTAAAGGATTTCTCCAGTCACCGGAGATAAAGTTATCTCCAGTGAGTTCAAAACGACGTCGTTTTAGGGCAGAAATCAAGGTATTTTTGTAATTATAATATATTGCAGGATTATATTAGTCTTTGTCATTATAATTTTTTAATCTTATAACTCAAAACGACGTCATTTTGAACTCACTGAAGATAACTTTATCTCCGATGACTGGAAAAATAATTTTCCCAATATATTATCATATGCTTTTTTAGTACAAAACCTCAACACAAAAGTTATTATAATAAATCTTGCACAATAATAATGCAGGAGTTGATTGTAAGAACCTGCACCGTTAATTAAGGAAGTTAATTAATTAATTATGAGAAATTAAGAAGTAATTCCATAATTAACCCTAATTATTATTATGAGGCTTAAATAATATTGGTAAGTGATTAATAATGCTGAAAGTCACTTTTCTGATGAAAAGTGCAGATATCGATTCTGCTACTCGGTATAAATGTGTACCGATGAAGTATCCCAGAAAATTATGAAAAGTGTGTATATTTCACTAGAATAATATATAGGATTTGTAAAACAAGTTTCAAGTTAAAATAATGAGAACTGGTGCCAGAACTGATACTGGCTATGGAAAAGCGCGTACCGGAAAGGTGCTGCAAAAAATAAAATAAAAATATGATAAATCTTAGAAAAATAAGTAGGTTCAGAATCCTAAGTTTGGGATTAAATTGCTAAGCGTAGCAATTAGCGCTAATACAGTGCGATTAAGACTTAAGTGACTATATATAGCCTTGGCACATGATCCTAAGTCTATTCTTGTGCCTAACGCCCGGCCACTTCAAAAATTAACGACTGTCCCCACATACTAACACGAGACTTTTCAGTGTGCTTTTTCCTCACTCGCACACTTCCCGAGAAAACTTACCAGGAGGTCACCCATCCTAGAATTGCTCCAAGTCAAGCACGCTTAACTATAGAGTTCTTCCGATCCAGGCTACCGAAAAACAGATGCATCTTGTTAGTATAGGTAGTACCAATTAATTCTTATAAGCTATCCCAGACTGTGCAGTCTCACACATGCACAGTCTTTGGAATCCCTCTCTTTCGGGTGTCGATTCGATTCATTCATGTATGTAACCCCACGCTGGAAGCCTGTCAGGAGCCGCTCCTTGTCTGTGCCTCTTTGCACCGGCGATCACTCCCTGCCCTCGTCAGCGCTCGGGATGTTACATGTGGTGAGTGAGAAAGTTTCTGACTTGGTGGTTAGAGTGGTGAGTAGGGGTGTTCATCAACCGATCCAAACCGATTCAAACCGCGAAAACCGAACCGAAAAACCGATAACCGAATAAACCGAAAACCGAAAAATCGAAATCCGAAAAAAAACCGCAAATTTTAATTGGATTGGATCGGTTTTCGGATGGGTTGATGAAAACCGATCCAATCCAAACCGATCCAATATATTAATTATTCTCTATCTACTTGTCCTTTCTCCAATCATAGTCCAAAAATTTCTAAACTCAAGACTCATTAACTCATCAATTAAACCCAAAAAAAAACTTAGTCACGTCTCATCAACTATAGTATTGTTTACTGATATTTTTGTATTTCAATTTTTTTTTACAAAGTCAATATATACAAAAGATGTTATTTGCACAATAATCATGAAACTAATTTTAGGATATTCAAAAAACCGAAAACCGATCCAATCCAAACCGAAAATAATTGGATTGGATCGGATCGAATTTGAAAAAAAATCTAAACCGAATGTATGATTACATGATCAAACCGAAGGGATTGGATCGGATGAGTTTTGCTTCCAAAACTGATCCAATCCAGACCGCGAACACCCCTGGTGGTGAGAGCCTTTGGTGATGGCACTTTGAGCTCCAAGGAGCCATCTTTGTTGAGAAAGGACCAAACTTTGTTGGCATTTTCGTTCTCCTTGCAAGTCTGACTTTATGAGCAGTTGTGACAGCTCCAAGAGCACCTCTTGCTTCTGTTTTGAAGCCTTGGGTATGTTCCCTAACTTGATCATGAGTTTTAATGGGTTAAAGCTTGAGTCTTGGCATGTAATATGTTAAAATGAAGTAACCAACACGTATATGAACCTGTATATGCCTAAAAATGGACTCTTGGACGTATAATAATGGTAAAAGTTGAGTGATATCTTCGCGAAAATGTAGAACTACATTCTGTCGCGAAATATTCGGACATTGATATCCAGATATGGGGTCTTATGATATCCGGATATACATATCCGGATATTGCCCCGACAAATATCTGGATATTCTGGGTTTTCAAGAACAGGAACGATATTGTTCATACAGAACTGAGTTATAGGTTTGTGGACCCTAGATTGTGGAAGTTGGACTTCTGCAATGATTAAGTTAAGTTAGAATCAAGGGATTAAGGGCTTGTGACTTTGTGAGAAGCCTTAAGACTTGGAACGCAAAGGAAACGCGTTGTCTTTATATCGTATGCTTGTAGAGTATAAATATTGATGTTGTTAGTGGTCCTAACAGATTGTGATTGTGCAGTGTGTGGACCTTGAGCTTGTGTGGACTTTTGGCTTGGATAGCTAGCTTGTAAGGTAAGCTTTTGTGTCCTCAGTTTAGCCATTGTTTGTTCCACCATGTCTTATGGGGGATGGTTATATGCATAATGTGTTTTCATGTATTATTTTACTGAAATGCTATTGAACTGTTAAGTGCAAATGCTATATGATATGTATGTGATGTTCCGCCTAGACAGGAAGCCATGTGGCGGTCCTGTGGGCGGGTACAGCATGAGCGTGTACTGTGTGGGTAATAGACGTATTCCTTCACTTCTCTGATCAGTAGAATAGTTATAACACACATGACATAAATATCTGCTGCATTGCACTGATTTTGGAACTGATATTGAATTAATGCTTTTAGAACTTATATTGCACATGTAAGTGAGCTTGAGGTGGAAGATCCTTGAGGACCCCTTGTCTTACTGAGCATTCTGTTTAGAGATCTCACCCCACGTTTGGGGCACCATTTCAGGTTCAGGTAATGTGGGGGTTGAGACCTCTAGCGGCAGGAGGCCGGAGCTTAGCTGATATTGTTGTTTATATGATGATATGTTTCGATGTTGGATTATATCTGCTGATGATATGCCTTTAGCTTGTTATTATTATGTTGCTGTTGCTGAGACTATGTTTGGCTTTGTTGCCTTATTTGGTGAGCATGAGGATTGTCCATGCCACATTGATTGACTATGTCTTGGTTAGATTTGAGATGTAATAATGTATCAGGATTATGTCCGGGCTACGTGTTGTAGTTCCGCGATTTTAGATACTCACAGTTAATTATATATTGAGGTATTTCAGTTAGCTGTTTACTTTGCAGTCTACATACAGGCAATGTTTTGGAAATGAATTAAGTAATTCAACTTGGTAATGATAATGACGTCATAATTGAAAAGAAAAAGAATATTCCGCATTTTTAATTAAGCGTGGCTTAATACGATGACATGTTAACAAACCGGGTTAACACGGGGTGCATGCATAAGATAAGAGAAAATTGTTATCTGGCTTGGATGACTAGTTAGACAAAGGATTTTATTAATCTTATGTTAAAGGAGATAAGTTATCTCATGTCATAGAGATAAACTTGTGGGCTCCATCACCTGAAAAATAAAAATAAAATAAAAGAAAAAGATGGCACATTTATTGAAGGGTATGTAGAAGAGAAATTTATCACTCGTAGCAGTAGTTTCTCCCTTAGATAAATTCAAAAAATTACTTCTTGCAAGCTCCTTCTCCAAGCATCAAACTCCTTCTTCAGGCGGACATGGCAACTGTTGCTAGAGAATACTATAAAAGTTGCTCCCTCCCTCCTCCATGCTTCGTTCATTTAAATAAACATTATATTTATCTCATTTAATAATAAAATTAATTATAATTGAATAGTTTAACACTTATCCTAAATATATGTTTTTTCAATTTGTGTGAAATAAAAATTAATTTTAAGATTGTTATTGACTTTTATATAATTTTAATTTAATAAATTCACCGGTTGAGTGAGTTTTAATATTTTTGTAGCGGAACTTTTATATTTTAATTCCCAAATTCCTAGAGCAAAAACCAACCCCTGTCCGCCCCACATAAAAATGCAAAAGTAAGCACAAAAAAGTATGTTTCAAAAATGCGTAAGCACAAGCATCAAAAGTCACGAAGAAACCAATAACAACACCATTGCAGATTTTGATTGATAAAGAGAAACCCAGCAGGTAAGGCAAGTCACATGTAGGCATGCATTTTTGTGAGGGGAATATTAGTCTTATGTTATATGAGAGTAGTTCTCTCATACTATAAAGAAAATTCAAGTGGGGTCCACCATTAAAAAAAAAAAAGTACAATTTTCGAAGTGAAAGAAAATGAGATAACTATCTCATGTAAAATGAGAGTAGTATTTTTCCCTCTTTGTTAATAGTATAATGATGAGATACAATATAAACATAAGTACGTAACACTGTAAAATAATCATGAAGATGCGATATGAAGATAGATATTGAAGAATATTATTGTGAGAATCATGCAAGAGATATACAAATGTAATTTTAAAATCTTGATAATGAATGTAAGTGCATGTAGACATATGTTCGTTGAGCCAATTAAATATTAATTTCCAGTTTTCCTCCAATGTAATAGATAATAATATGTATTTTTAAAATAAGTCACATAGTTCAATGAATAAAGAAAGCAAAAGCTAAATCAAACAGATGCATAGTCAGGATCCCATTGCAAAAACTCGATATCAATGCAAGATTGCAGTCAAGAAATGTTGAAGCATAACAATTAACATTACTTGGTTTGGATAACATAACATCAGTATCCGTTTCCTGATAAGACTAAAAATAGAAGTTCAATGTACAGGCCATGTATTTCTCCTTGTTTAAGGATTGAAGAACATTGGCTATATAGGGACTTTCGAAATCTCCATGATTACTAAGTTGAAGAGTGGCCTTTAATGGTATTATAAAGTAGGTTATGGGCTGTGAATACAAGGATTTCTGCAGGTGCAAATATTGAGCCCAACGTGAGAGGAAAAACCAGTTGAAGGGTTTGGTAAGTACTGGACCAATTACAGAGGGAAGGAAGATCAGAAAAGGCCAAGTATAGGAAATTTTAGGAACAATCAGAGCCACAACCGCTACTTGTTCAGCCTGTATCTTACCGTTGCCCATTAGTTTAATTACAAGTCCATCAGTACCAGTTATAGGCCTATACACGAGTTTCCAATCACCCCGAGCATAGACTCCCAGCTGAGATTGATTAGCATCCCGCAAAAAGCTAAAATCATCAAAATCTTCAGGTTCAGTCTCCACATTAAATGTAACTTCTCTCTTTCTCAGGTTTGCAGCCCTGCTACTTTCTCCATGGAGATTGTGGTCTATACTGACAACTGGAACATCAGGGAAAAGATTAGGAGAGTTATATTGTTGTGGTGCTACAACTGCAGCAATTTCAGCACCATAAACCACATCACTACATCTCAACTTGAACAAGCCGTTTTGATAGAATTTAATTACATCTTCCATGGTTGGTCTATAACGTGCATCTCTCTCTGTGCATTGTAATGCCAACAAAAGCACTGCAGTGACTTGCTTGGCTACTAGTGCTGAATTGGGAAATGCACTTGCAAGGTATGAATCAGCAATCATCACAATTTTGCCCGTTTTCATCCGTACAGATCTAGCCCAGTTCACTAAAGTGGTCACCTCTTCTTTATCATTCAAAGACGGAACTAATACTTTCTTTCTGGTTATTAGCTCAAGCAGAACTACCCCGTAGCTATATACATCAGACTTTCTGCTCTGCACTATTGCATATGCATTCTCTGTCAAAAGGGACAATGCAAGCAAGTTAGAGAAATGTTATCTTCCACAACTCCACTTTCAAGCTGTAAAGAAAAATAAAGCTATTATTGCATCCTAGCAAGTGTGAGTTACTATTAGCTATGAAAGTGGTGTGCAAATCAATGATTAAGTGTAGATGAAGAATTAAATACCCGGTGCAATATAGCCAGGAGTACCAGCAACCTGCGATGAAAGCATTGGCCTTAAACCAGCATGACTATTAGAACTCTCATGCAGGTTCCTGTACAGGGCAGTACCAAAATCAGCTATAAGAGGTTCCATATTAGCATCAAGAAGTATATTCTTTGGTTTGATGTCTCGGTGCACTATGGGCGGGTTACAATCATGATGAAGATATGCTAGTCCTCGAGCAATTCCAACAGCTATCTTAAACCGGACATCCCACGTTAAGGAGGGTGGGGGTTTTTTTTCATGCAAAATATCATGAAGGCTTCCATTTTCCATGAACTCATATATGATTAAACCATAGTCCTCTCCAACCCAGTAGTCTGCATATGCCACCAAATTACGATGCTTAATCTTCTCAAGGGTTTGAATTTCTCTTTGCAAAATACTTAGATACTTCTGCTTGTTACTTCCAAATGTAACCTTCTTTACTGCAAAATCCAGTTGACCTAGTTGGGCTTTATATACAATGCCATGGCCTCCCCTGCCAATTATATACCGATCATTCAGGTTCTCTGTAGCCTTCAACACTAGGTCCTCAAGGTAAGATGGGTTCATTTGAGCTGAGATATGGACTTGGCTATCAAATATTGCTCCAATCTTTCCTCCTCCATCTCCAGCGAAATACTCAAGTTCCTGCTCACAGTTAAGAGAGGTGGAGGCCCTCTTCATTGCTTGCTTAGATCTTCTCTGGAGATACATTACAATTACTATTAGCAGCATGACAGAAATAAATATTGAGGATCCAAGTGCTATCATCACAATTTCATGGCGACTGATACCCCTGTGATCAGTTGATTTGTAGACACGTGGCTTCACATAACTAGTTTCATTGCAACCCAAGCCATCTGAAAGTGGACAATTAACACATAGGAGAGGATTACCCATGAATGATGATGGTGAGGAATTCAATAACTTCATCAGATGTTCTGGTACAGGACCATCAAAGAAATTATAAGAAATATTGACCTCAATTAATGAAACAAGACCCTCAAGAACATCTATGCCACCAGTCAAATTGTTCAAGGATACATCCATACTCTGCAGCGCTTCTAGATTACTAATTTCTGAAGGAATGTCACCTGTCAATCCATTATCACTCAGATTCAACCCATAGAACAGTTTCCGCAATTTTGCCATTGATCGAGGAATTTTGCCTCCAAACAAATTTCCACCAAGTTGTAAATTGCGTAGGTTGTTAAATTGTGGCAAACAGCCTGGGATACCCCCTGTAAAATGATTCCCGCTTAAAATTAATGTGGTTATCCCCGTCCAGCTTGAGAAACTTGATGGGAATGAACCATTTAGGGAATTGAATCCCACATCAAAACGATCCATTTTAGTACAATTTGACAGCTCGGGTGGCAAAGGACCTTCCAATTTGTTGTGAGCAAGATCCAAAGTCACAAGATTCACAAGCTTTCCAATCTCTGATGGTATCAGCCCAGTCAACTTGTTCATTGACAAATTAATTTCAGTGAGATTTGTGCAATTTTCTAAACTTGATGGAATTGATCCACTGATATTGTTCTTGCTTATGCCCATGTGTGAGAGGTTCGGATTACTTACAAAATCAGGAAGAGGCCCAGTGAAATTATTTTCTTTGAGAATCAACCTCCTTAGAGTTGCACATCTTCCTACATCAGAAGGTATGCCACCTTGAAGTTGATTACTTCCAATATCAAGCACGCGCAATTGCTTTCCAAAGCAGAGATTGGGAGGGATACTACCAGTGAACTTATTATTCTTACAGTCCAACTTCACTAAACTGCTATTGATTCCCAAGCTTTGAGGTATGACTCCAGAGAACTGGTTGTCAAACAATGAGATATTTTTTAGATTCTTTAGCTTTGTAATCTCCAAAGGTATCTGTCCACTAAAGCTGTTCTCAGAAAGGTCTAAATACTTGAGCAAACTACAGTTACTTAACTCTGAAGGCACCTTTCCTGAGAAACCGTTACCCGACAACACAAGGGTCTGCAAGTGATACAATTTTCCAATTTGTGGTCCAAGGTCACCAAAAATCCCATGATGAGGGAGGTTAAGGGAAACCACGTGGTGGTCATGGTCGCACTGAACTCCTACCCATGAGCATGGAGTGGAATCAGAGGCATTCCAGCTCGAGTTTATGATAGGAGGAATAGAGGTCCAGCATGCCAAGAGTGACCATAGAGTCAACCCGTCAGAGACCATTTCAGAATCACCATGCAAAAAGGCAGGGAAGGATAAAACCAACAACACGAGTGTGATAGTAGTACTCCTAGTTCTAGTCATTGAGACAGGGTAGTTGACAAAACAAGGTGACAAAAAGTTAACAGAGGTTGCAAAGGATCAGATAACCACTTACCTTGTCAAAGCTTACAAGTTGAGAAACCAAGGGATTGGAATTGAAGTCAATGATTGAGACTTTTCTCCTTTGAGATGGAAAATAGAGTTGAACTTGGAGAAGCAATATGGGATACGTGTCCCCATTGAGCGGCTTTGCTTTCTTTATGAAAAGTAAAGGGAGAACTTTTCTGAAACTGCCAGGAAAATGGTGGTAATAGCTCCCTTCGTAGCAAGTCATCGAGTAAATGAAAAGGAGAAGGCATTCTAGCTGACTCAAGAGTCAAAACTTATAAAAATATTGGGAGAAAGTAAGAAAAAACTCCAAAAACTCCTTGTATTTTTTTTTTTATATATAACTTCTAGTTATTCTCGTTCAACCTACTCTGGTCATTTTGTTCTCAGAATACGGTCTTGTAAGCTAGCTCCTTATTGAAACAGATGGTGCATTGAGCTTGGTTACCGGAGAAAGGATAAGACTAATCTAGACACATCCAGAAACCCTCAAAGATTTTTTAAGAATTTATTTTAGGCAAGGTTTGAACCCTAATTCAAACAAAGTATTGCCAACTGAGCTACTATTGTATATTAACCCCTTGTATTTTTTACATAATCATTTACCAGCTTACAAAATTTTGCGATTTAAAAGTTTTTTATCACATACCCTCCACGCCAACAAGTGCACAAACAAGCCTCGTTAGAACCCATCACTCCTTCCAGCCACGTATTGCGCTGCACAGGGCCTTCCATCTCCTCTGCCTAACCATGCCATCTTCAACCATAACCAGTGAGTAACACCAACGCCTCATCAGAGTCTATACATGGGGACGTGTTTGAGACCGGTCTCTTAGAGAGGAGAAATTTTTTTTATTGAAAAACAATAATTTTCGAGAATACGATAGAAATTTTTTTATCCTTGGTAGATTTTTTAAAGGGGCGTTTGGTACAATTTGGTACAATGATTTTGGCCAGATTCTCGAGAAATTGAATTTTTTTAAATTTTAAATTTTCGGATATTATCGTAAATTGAATATAAAAATTATATTTTTGAAAATCGAGATTTCCGGACAAAAAAAATTTCTCCTCTATCAAACGCTCCCTAAAAGTGTTTGATAGACTAATTTTTTTTGAATAATATTGATTTAATTTTAATGATGCTATACCATATGAGAAAAAATAATTTCATACTTTTAATGATAATCTTCTCAACTATTTTACAAAGAAAAAAAATGTCTCAGTCATACTCTTACTTCATCTCCTATAGATAAATTATTTCTCCCACTCTTTTCTCGGGAAAAAAAAATTTCACCTCCTATCAAACACTCCCTTACCTTCGATCCTGGGAAAATTTTATTTGCACGGAAAAGTAATATTAGAAAGGGATTTGCATTTGTCATTTAATTTGACACAATAAATTTTTCTACACATACAATATTTTGTGGGACCCACATTTTTTGAAGAACAAAAAAAGAAAAGAAAATTACGGCACACAAAATGAATCTCTATAATATTACACAATCACTTTTCTTACAACATAACTCTTATAAAATCCTATTAGAAATCTTATTTTTACACATTTGCTGTAAAAGGATTTTCAATTCGGGATAGGATATTGTGACACACAAATAATATTACGCACAATGTTACGACCACATCTTAACCGTTGATTTCCGTCAATCAACGGTTATCATTTTTCAAATCAAACTCATTAATTAATTATTAATTCTCAATAAATGATAACCGTTGATTGGCGGAAATCAACGGTTAAGATGTGGTCGTAACATTGTGCGTAACATTATTTGTGTGTCACAATATCCTATCTCTTTAAATTCTACTAGAAAATCTCAACAATAATATCACCCGCACGTGGTATTCTGAAAATCTCACTGGGTGGAAAAATCTATCCATTTTTTAGGACAAAAATACCCTTGTTAGGATCGAAGTCTGCGTCACCGTCACCGTCACCGTCACCCTTGCTTTTCACACATGATCCTCTGCCTCATGGTCACTTTCGGATCTCAGTCGCAGATCCACTTCCAACCTTCACCGCCACCTTTTTCGCTCTTTCTCATAGACCCCTCTATTTCTCGTCCAACTGTAATCATCGACAATGTCTCCGGGTACACTTTTCCTTCATCTCTATCACCCATTTCTCCTCTACGCTTGTCTTTTTTTTTTCTTGATATCAATGTAGTAGGGACACCATGTATTTGCTAAAATGCCCCAATTCAGTTCTCTTAGTTTTGCCATATAATTGTCTCTAATATTGATTGACACGAATTGGGCTTACCCTGAAATTGGAAAATGATGTTTATGTTGCAGGTATACGAAGATGGGATTTGCTGGTAATGTTGAGCCATGCATTATTGTTACAACGGTTGTTGCAGTTAATGAGTCATTCCTTAATCAATCGAGGAGCTCTTCCAAAAGCAATTGGGTCGCCCATCACAATGCAGAGGTTATGGTTAATTTTGTTTTTGGATGATTGTGTAAAAAATTTATTTTAATTTTAAATTGAAAAAGTTTTGAATCAATTGATGGTTAAGCGTAGTTTTGTAAAATTAACTCACACAATTAACTAAATATAAAATTAGTAAAGTTGAACCAATTATTTCAGTAATAATTTTGACCTACCAAAATAGTTTTTTGTCATATCTAGAAAAATTTATTTTTTCACCATATTCTTGTTAATTGTAATTTTCAGTCACAAATTTTTTTTTTCTCTGCCAAACACTCGTTTCAAATCTTACTACAAAATTGTCATCACTGGTGTGTGCATGACAATTTTCCATAAATGTGTTTTTTCTTCCCACAAATGCTTTTTTTTTTTAATTTATTTTCTTTATTTCTATTTGAATAATAGAATACTTAAAAATAACATTTGATAAAATTAATTCATTATTTATATTCACACCCTTCTTTTCTTATTTCCAGATTAATTCTAAAACCTCAAACAAAACAACATTACCATACTAGTTTTTTTTTTTTTTTTAAATAATCTAAAAGGAGTAGTTTTTTGGGGCAATTAACATACAGCCTAAATTTTGTAATAGTTCAATGTATTAAAAAAAAAAATTAATAGTTGATACTTGATAGTTTATACATCATGCATATATTTCACATTTGACACATCGGCGCTACAGAAACAATGTATGACATATTGACGTATTTATGCATAATGATGTTTCCATAGCCACATTATTCCTGGATTAGAGCCCTATAGCTTACTATTAAGAATGAGCATGGTTTAACCCAAATTGATTTTTTCTTAATCAAACCGAACTGTTTTATTTAATCTAAATCAATTTTATTTTTCCTAAGCCGGTTCAAAACTCAATTGGAACCGATTTATGTTTCAAAATTAATTCATGATTTATAATCGGTTACGATATACAAACTAATTCCAAACATATTTCGAACTGATTCCAAATCAATGTAGAATTGATTTTAAACCAATTTTACAAATGCTTAATTTTTAAACTGATTTATAAAACAATTCAGTTCCCAAAACTGAAAAAAGTAAAATAATAAAGTTTTGTTCAATTCAGTTATTTTGGATAGCCCGCTAACTCCTTGTTATTAAGGCGTTTGGTATGAGGGTTTTCTCAAGATTCTCGGAAAATCGAATTTTTTTAAATTTTAAATTTTTGGATATTATCGTAAACTAAATGTAAAAATTATATTTTTGAAAATTGAGATTTTCGGACAAAAAAAAATTTCTCCTCTACCAAACGCAGTAGTACTCATCTCCCAACGCAAAACTTTTCTTTCTAACCCAAATGAATCTTTCCAAATATCAAAGCCAAGACTCAATTCTTGGGATATAATCAGCTAATCAAGTATTTTCGTAATTTTAAGGACAGCTAAAACGAAAAGCTCACAAAATGATCTTATATTAATAGGAATATTCTGAACACCAGAATGACATTGGCACACGAGCACGAAGTTCTTTCATTGTTTTCAAAGAGTCTCTTACATGTACCAACGACCAAAGTAAATTTCTCCAAAGCAAAACAAAGGGGTTTGGTAGGTACTGGACCAATTACAGAGGGAAGGAAGATCAAGAAAGGCCTAGTATAGGTAATTTTAGGAGCAATCAGAGCCACAACCGCTACTTGTTCAGCCTCTATCATTAAGATCTTCAGGTTCAGTCTCCACATTAAATGTAACTTCTCTCTTTCTCAGGTTTGCAGCCCTGCTACTTTCTCGATGAAGATGGTGGTCAATACTGACAACTGGAACATCAGGAAAAGATTAAGGGAGCGATATGGTTGTGGTGCTACAACTGCAGCAGCCTCATCACCATCAACATAAACCACATCACCACACCACAACTTGAACACGCCTTTTTGATAGAAATTGATAACATCTTTCATGGTCGTTCTGTTGTCTGCATCCTTTTCTGTGCACTGTAATGCCAACAAAAGCACTGCAGTGACTTGCTTGGCTAGTACTGCCGAATTGGGAAATGCACTTGCAAGGTATGAATCAGCAATCTTCTCAATTTTGCCCGTTTCCAACCATACAGATCTAGCCCAGTTCACTATAGTGGTCACCTCTTCTTTATCATTCAAAGACGAAAAATATGCTTTCTTTCTGGTTATTAGCTCAAGCAGAACAACCCCGTAGCTATATACATCAGACTTTCTGCTCTGCACTATTGCATATGCATTCTCTGTCACAGGGCACAATGCAAGCAAGTTAGAGAAATGCTATCTTCCACAACTCCACTTTCAAACTGTAAAGAAAAATAAAGCTATTATCGCATCCTAGCAAGTTATTATCAGCTATGAAAGTGGTGTGCAAATCAATAGTTAAGCGTAGATGAAGAATTAGATACCCGGTGCAATATAGCCAGGAGTACCAGCAATGCGCAATGAAAGCGTTGGCCTTGAACCAGAATGACTATTAGAATGCTCATACAGGTTCCTGTACAGGGCAGTACCAAAATCAGCTATAAGAGGCTCCATATTAGCATCAAGAAGTATATTCTTTGGTTTGATGTCTCGGTGCACTATGGGCGGGTTACAGTCATGATGAAGATATGCTAGTCCTTGAGCAATTCCAACAGCTATCTTAAACCGGACATCCCACGTTAAGGAGGGTGGGGGGTTTTTTTCGTGCAAAATATCATGAAGGCTTCCATTTTCCATGAACTCATATATGATTAAACCATAGTCCTCTCCCACCCAGTAATCTGCATATGCGACCAAATTTCGATGCTTAATCATCCCAAGAGTTTGAATTTCTTTTTGCATAATACCGACATACTTCTGTTTGTTACTTCCAAATGTAACCTTCTTTACTGCAAAATCCAGTTCACCTAGTTGGGCTTTATATACAATGCTATGGCCTCCTCTACCAATTATATACCGATCATTTAGGTTCTCTGTAGCCTTCAACACTAGGTCGTTAAGGTAAGACGGTTTCTTTTGAGCTGAGATATGGACTTGGCTATCAAAGATTGCTCCAATCTTTCCTCCTCCATTTCCAGCGAAATACTTAAGTTCCTGCTCAGAGTTATGGGAGCTGGAGGCCCTTTTCATTTCCTGCTGAGATCTTCTCTGGAGATACATTACAATTACTATTAGCAGCACGGCAAAAATAAATATTGAGGATCCAAGTGCTATCATCACAATTTCATGGCAACTGATACCCCTGTGATCAGTTGATTTGTAGACACATGGCTTCACATAACTATTTTTATTGCAACCCAAGCCATCTGAAAGTGAACAATTAACACACAGGAGAGGATTACCCATGAATGATGATGGTGAGGAATTCAATAACTTCATCAGATGTTCTGGTACAGGACCATCAAAGAAATTATAAGAAATATTGACCTCAATGAATGGAGCAAGACCCTCAAGAACATCTATGCTACCCGTCAAATTGTTCAAGGATACGTCCAGACTTTGCACTCCTAGATTACTAATTTCTGAAGGAATGTCACCTGTCAATCCATTAGCACTCAGATTCAACCCGTAGAACAGACTCCGCAAATTTCCCATTGATCTGTTAGAATTGAATATCCACACAGATGCAAGAGACAACCATACTTGTGTATCTACAAAAAAAACTTTTCTTTTTCTATTCTTGCTTTCTTGCTCTTTTTCTTTTTCTTTTTCTCTTGATCTACATTTCATAAAAACTATCAAAGGCTATTTATAAGCTATAAAACTGACAAACATAACTCCACACATAACACTCTCATTACTTTATAACTGACATAACTTCAAACTCATTAATGTCCACTAACACAAACCTAAGGACATGACTTTTCACCAGAAAACTCTTCACATTTCTATTTTCTATTTTCTATTTTTATCTCATTAAAATTTAACCCAACAAAACTCCCCCTTAAATTTTAATTCTTTTTTTTGAATTTTCCACCGGTTGATTTTTTTCCGCGCTGCTTCCATGTTGCACTCCTTTCTTCAAAAAAAAAAAATTTTGTCCGGCGGTTCCTTTATTGGTGGAAGATAGACAGTCTTGAATTTTTCTCCGTCGACCTCATCCTCCAATATACTTCCACATTCATTCTTACACGTATGATCATCACACAAGTCATCATACTGATTGTTAGAATTGAATATCCACACAGATGCAAGAGACAACCATACTTGTGTATCTACAAAAAACTTTTCTTTTCTATTCTTGCTTTCTTGCTCTTTTTCTTTTTCTCTTGATCTACTTGATCTACATTTCATACAAACTATCAAAGGCTATTTATAAGCTATAAAACTGACAAACATAACTCCACACATAACACCTTCATTACTTTATAACTGACATAACTGACTCATTAATATTCTAACTGACATAACTGACTCATTAATATTCTAACTGACACAAGAAACTAAATAACCAAAGCTGCTACAAAACGGACATTTAAAATTTATCCCAACAAAACTCCCCCATAAATTTTAAATTCTTCTTTCTTTCTTCGCGTTGCTTCTGCTTTTCTTCAACTTTCTGATCGCGCCTGTTTTCTTCAATCTTGATCACTGACAAAAAACATCTAACACCTTCCAACTTAATTAACTCAAAGAAAATATCTCTCCTGCAATTATTTTTCTGAACATATTTTATTTTTGTCCGGCGGTTCCTTCATTGGTAGAAGATAGACAGTCTTGAATTTTTTTCTGTCGACCTCATCCTCCGATATACTTCCACATCCATTCTTACACGTATGATCATCACACAAGTCATCATACTGATCAGTATCTGTATCACTATAACGTCCCATTAGTTTTACAACATATATGCCAATTTTAATACTTTCAGATTCAACATGTGCTACATTAATAGCACGTTGGGCCTCTTCAACCACAGTAACCCCATCACTCATTGAGGACCGTTGATTCCCATCATCAAGCAAATAACTCAACGCATCATTTTCTGATTCCGGCCCACGATCTTCTTTTGGTTTACGCTTGAGCCAAAATGATTCCGCCATAAAAGTAACTCTAGGCTCCTCATCGCCGGGTTCCCTATCCACAATCACACTTTTACGCCATAAAAGTAACTCTAGGCTCCTCATCGCCGGGTTCCCTATCCACAATCACACTTTCCATTTTTCCGCTCTCAGTTTCTTCATCGTTGGGTTCTTCTTCATCGAGTCCAGCTTCCACGCGCCTCATCAATGGAATCTCAGACAACCGTCCTCCAGGGAAATGGTCTTTTTTCCGTGGTGTCGACATCTTCCACTTCCACCATAAATTCAATGCAGTCTCCGACTTCTGACTTCCAACCCGAACTGCGTCTATGTTGGTCTCCGACATCAACCTCATCACGCCGGGGTCGAGCTCTTCTCCAAAACATGAACTCGGTGATTTAGCCGGGATCTCCCCCATCCCGGTTATCAACACGGAACTCGGATTCGTGGTCTCCTCCATGCCGGTCTCCATCAAGCACCTCGGCTTCTCAATCTCCTTTCTGATTTTCGACTCTGTCTCCAAACACTCAGGTTCCACGAAGTCTTCTACCTCGACAATGGACTCGTCGTTCCCATCCTTCTCCGCTTCGATCTCGGCTCCTTCGTTCTCCTCATCTTCTATCTCGGCTCCTTCGTTCTCCTCCTCTTCTATCTCGGCTCCCTTGGCCACAGTCATCTCTATCGTCTTCTTCTCCGAGTCGTCTCTTACGCGTTCTGACACGTCAATCTCCTCCGCGGATGCGTTGCCGTTGGCAACCTCGGATTCCGCCATCTCGGTCTCTTCTTCATCCGCATCATTTTCCTCATCTTCATCATCATCATTGAAGATTTCATCTTCTTCATTAATCAGATCAAAACGTCCAGGCAAGTATTTTGTTACGAAGGCCATTAGAGAATCCTTCCACATATTATTAAAGTCGCGGCAGTTCCATGTACGGAACCATTTGATTGCGCTTCCTCTGAGTCTTCTCATGGCTACCTGCCATTTGTTCTCCGTCCAGGTTTTTTCTTTCCGAAAATGTTCCTTCAAACAGAGAAGCCAATCCAATGCTTCATCCTTATCTCCATGGAAGAGTGGCACCTCCAACTCGCTCTTTTTCTCCATAGCTCTGATACCAATTTGTTAGAATTGAATATCCACACAGATGCAAGAGACAACTATACTTGTGTATCTACAAAAAACTTTTCTTTTCTATTCTTGCTTTCTTGCTCTTTTTCTTTTTCTCTTGATCTACTTGATCTACATTTCATACAAACTATCAAAGGCTATTTATAAGCTATATAAAACTGACAAACATAACTCCACACATAACACCCTCATTACTTTATAACTGACATAACTGACTCATTAATATTCTAATTGACATAACTGACTCATTAATATTATAACTGACACAAGAAACTAAATAACCAAAACTGCTACAAAACGGACATTTAAAATTTATCCCAACACTAATCTGTATCACTATAACGTCCCATTAGTTTTACAACACCTATGCCAATTTTAATACTTCCAGATTCAACATGTGCTACATTAATAGCACGTTGGGCCTCATCAACCACAATAACCCCATCCCTCATTGAGGACCATTGATTCCCATCATCAAGCAAATAACTCAACTCATCATTTTCTGATTCTGCCCCACGATCTTCTTCTGGTTTACGCTTGAGCCAAAATGATTCCGCCATAAAAGTAACTCTAGGCTCCTCATCGCCGGGTTCCTTATCCACAATCACACTTTCCATTTTTCCGCTCTCAGTTTCTTCATCGTCGGGTTCTTCTTCATCGAGTCCAGCTTCCACGCGCCTCATCAATGGAATCTCAGACAACCGTCCTCCTTGGAAATGGTCTTTTTTCCGTGGTGTCGACATCTTCCACTTCCACCATAAATTCAATGCAGTCTCCGACTTCTGACTTCCAACCCGAACCGCGCCTATGTCGGTCTCCGACATCAACCTCATCACGCCGGGGTCGAGCTCTTCTCCAAATCATGAAATCGGTGATTTAGCCGGGATCTCCCCCATCCCGGTTATCAACACGGAACTCGGATTCGCGATCTCCTCCATGCCGGTCTCCATCAAGCACCTCGGCTTCTCAATCTCCTTTCCGATTTTTGACTCTGTCTCCAGACACTCAGGTTCCACGAAGTCTTCTACCCCGACAATGGACTCGTCGTTCCCGTCCTTCTCCGCTTCGATCTCGGCTCCTTCGTTCTCCTCATCTTCTATCTCAGCTCCTTCGTTGTCCTCCTCTTCTATCTCGACTCCTTCGTTCTCCTCCTCTTCTGTCTCGGCTCCCTTGTTCTCCTCATCTTCTATCTCGGCTCCCTTGGCCGCAGTCATCTCCATCGTCTTCTTCTCCGAGTCATCTCTTACGCGTTCTAACACGTCAATCTCCTCCGCGGATGCGTTGCCGTTGGCAACCTCGGATTCCGCCATCATGGTCTCTTCTTCATCCACATCATTCTCCTCATCTTCATCATCATCATTGAAGATTTCATCTTCTTCATTAATCAGATCAAAACGTCCAGGCAAGTATTTTGTTATGAAGGCCATTAGAAAATCCTTCCACATATTATTAAAGTCGCGTCAGTTCCATGTACGGAACCATTTGATTGCGCTTCCTCTGAGTCTTCTCATGGCTACCCGCCATTTGTCCTCCGTCCAGTTTTTTTCTTTCCGAAAATGTTCCTTCAAACAGAGAAGCCAATCTAATGCTTCATCCTTATCTCCATGGAAGAGTGGCACCTCCAACTCGCTCTTTTTCTCCATAGCTCTGATACCAATTTGTTAGAATTTGGTATCTACACAGATGCAAGAGACAACCATATTTGTGTATCTACAAAAAAACTTTTCTTTTCTATTCTTGCTCTTTTTCTTTTTCTCTTGATCTACATTTCATACAAACTATCAAAGGCTATTTATAAGCTATAAAACTGGCAAACATAACTCCACACATAACACCCTCATTACTTTATAACTGACATAACTGGCTCATTAATATTCTAACTGACATAACTTCAAACTCATTAATGTCCACTAACACAAACCTAAGGACATGACTCTTCACCAGAAAACTCTTCACATTTCTATTTTCTATTTTCTATTTTTATCTCATTAAAATTTAACCCAACATGATCGAGGAATTTGGCCTCCAAACAAATTTCCACCAAGTTGTAACTCGCGTAGGTTGCCAAATTCTGCCAAACAGTCTGGGATACCCCTTGTAAAATGATTCCCGCTTAAAATTAATGTGGTTATCCCCGTCCAGTTTGTGAAACTACACGGAAATGAACCATTTAGGGAATTGAATCCCACATCAAAACGATCCATTTTAGTACAACTTGACAGCTCAGGTGGCAAAGGACCTTCCAATTTGTTGTGAGCAAGATCCAAATTCACAAGATTCACAAGCTTTCCAATATCTGATGGTATCAGCCCAGTGAATTTGTTCATTGACAAATTAATTTCAGTGAGATCTGTGCAATTTTCCAAACTTGATGGAATTGATCCACTGATATTGTTCTTGCTTATGTCCATGTATGTGAGGTTCGGATTACTTACAAAATCAGGAAGAGGCCCGGTGAAATTATTTTCTTTGAGAATCAACCTCCTTAGAGTTCCACATCTTCCTATATCAGAAAGTATACCACCTTGAAGTTGATTACTTTCCATATCAAGCAAACATAATTTCTTTCCAAAGCAGAGATTGGGAGGGATACTACCAGTGAACTTATTATTCTTACAGTCCAACTTCACTAAACTGCTATTGATTCCCAAGCTTTGAGGTATGACTCCAGAGAACTGGTTGTCAAACAATGAGATATTTTTGAGATGCTTGAGCTTTGTCATCTCCAAAGGTAGTTCTCCAAAAAGGCTATTGTTATGAACCAAGATGTGCTTAAGACTCGGAATTCTCCAAATACTGGCTGGAATTTCACCTGTCAAATGGTTAAAAGACAAATCAAGGTCCTCTAATTCACGTAGCAGTCCCAAGGATGATGGGATTCTGCCTATTAAGTTGCTATTCACTGCAGAAAATTCTGCTAAACCACTACAATTCCCCAGGCCAGAGGGAATACCTCCACTAAATACATTGAGCGAAAGATCCAAAATAAACAATCTTCTACAGCTGCCAGAACCCAGTGGGATGGTACCTCCAAGACTATTATTTCTGAGAATGAAATAAACAACATTTTTGAGATTGTTAAGACTCTCAGGCAGAACCCCATTTAATCTGTTCTCATTCAAAAATAAAGCCTCTAACTTACTGCAATTACCAATGGATGAAGGAATAGTCCCTGACAACTGATTACCATATAGATACAACCTCGACAGTTCAGTAGCATTCCCAATATTGGTTGGGATAGGACCACTAAGAAGGTTACTGTGCAAGCTCACTTCATCCAGGGGAGGAATTTGAAACAAGGAATCTGGAATTTCACCAGTTAGCAGATTAGAAGACAAGCTGATATGCCGTAAGTTTTGCAACTTTTTCAAGCTATATGGTATCTTTCCACTAAAGCTGTTCTCAGAAAGGTCTAAATACTCGAGCAAACTACAGTTACTCAACTCTGAAGGAACTTTTCCTGAGAAACCATTACCCAACAACACAAGGGTCTGCAAGTGATACAATTTTCCAATTTGTGGCCCAAGTTCACCAAAAATCGCATGATCAGTGAGGTTAAGGGAGACCACATGGTGGTCATGGTCGCATTGAACTCCTACCCATGAGCATGGAATGGAATCAGAGGCATTCCAACTCGAGTTTATGATAGGAGGAATAAAGGTCCAGTGAGTCAAGAGTGACAATAGAGTCACCCCATCAGAGACCATTGCAGAATCACTGACAATTCAATTGTTTGTTATGCAAATCGTTTTGTTAAATACTTGAATTGTCATGTTAAAATTGTTTTGTAAGTTTATTTGGTCAATTGTTTTGTTAATCCAAATACCTTTCTTTTCCAAATGCGATTATTATTTCGAAAAAACTAACTACTCGAACCAAGTCAACAAATTACTTATTATGAATGACCTGATTATGAATTAAGTGAATATCCACAAAATTCACATAATAACTAAGTGGCTATCCGGTCCTTGAGCATAAATAAATTCATGGTTGAGTTATTTTTAAAAGACACAACTAGTGTCAAACACGTATTATTTAAAAACCAAATGGTTTTGGTTCCAGTATCATCAACGGTGGAGATTTACGTGATAAAACAAATCTTTCTTTCTTTTTATTTTCAGATGAATTCTAAAACCTCAAACAAAACATTACCATAAAAAATAGTAGTTTTTAGGACAATTAGCAAAAAGGAAAAGTGTTTGTCATTTTAAATTATATAAAGTTATGTCATTTTAAGAGAGAGACATACACATAAAAAAATTATTTCAATTTTAAATTAAAAAAAAACACTCATTTTCTCTCTTCCATGATTTTCGTTTTTCTGTGTCTATCTCTCTTAAAATGACATAACTTATGTCATTTAAAATGACAAACACCAAACCCTTAACAAAAAGCCTGAATTTTTTAATAGTTCAATGTAATAAAAAAAATTAATAGTTGATACATCAGGCACTATGTATGACGTATACATGCATAAGAGCAATTCTACAAAAATGATGTTTCTATAGCCACATTATTCCTGGATTAAAGCCCTAGAGCTTACTTTTAAGTTGAGGATGGTTCAACCCAAATCGATTTTTTCTTCTCTGAATCAAATCCAACTGCATTATTTAATCTGAACTGAATTTATTTTTCGTAAGCCGGTTCATAACTCGTTTGAAACCAATTTATGTTTTAAAACCAATTCATGATTTATAACCGGTTTCAATATGCAAACTAGTTCCAAACTAATTCCAAATCGATTTAGAATTGATTTTAAACTGATTTCAAACCGATGTTACAAATTGATTTTTTAATTCAATTCAATTTTTAAATTGATTTATAAAATTAGTTTGGTTCACAAAACTAATAAAAAATAAAGTATAGTTCAATTAGTTTAATTCAGTTATTTTAGATAGCCTGCTAACTCTTTGTTAGAAGATAACGTGTTAAACCTATAGAATAGCAAGACTCATCTCCCAACAAGGCCTGTGTTGAACTTTTGATTGTAATAGGAGAGTAAAAAGGTCGAGCACCAGGCATTCAAGGTTTGGCTTGGCTTAACTTATTTAATAAATAGAACAGACTTAAGTTTTAAAAAAAAAACTTGTTTAACAAACAAGTCCAAATCTAATTTAATGAGATTTAACTTTTCCGTGAACTGACTTAATATATTATTATAACAAATAATATATTTTGTTCCGGGTAAATAGCATGAAAGACGTAATTATATGCGGACTGAGTGGATTTTACGATTATTTTTTCTTAGACGAAGGAATACAGAATTTGACGCAATTATAATCTCAAAATTTGGATGTATGAGTTTGAAAAAAATACTTTTTATAATTTTAAATGAATCAAGTCAAGACTTTAATTTTTCATAAACAAGTCAAGTCAAGTTTAAAATTTAACTCGTTCCAGGCTAATGGGTCAAACCCATGGTAGTTAAAATCAAAATTTTATCTAAAATCGAAAGGAAGATAAAAAATTATAAAACGTAAAAAAAAATCATAAAAACATAAAAATGTTTGAAATTTTGATGAAATCATTTTGATTAAAAAAAATCGTAAAATCATAAAATCACTGATTTAAATTAAAATTTTAACTACTATGGTCAAGCCAAACTCACAATATTTTTCATAAACATGACTACTGACTAGTTTAAACTAGAACTTGACTTGACCGAACTTATTTACACCACTGGTCTCTAACCCCAATGACCCTTGCCAAATATCAAAGCTAAGACTCAATTCTCGGAATATAATCAGCAAATCAAGTGTTGTCATAATTTTAGGGCAGCTAACCAGAATAACATTGGCGAGCACGAAATTCTCCCCATGTTTTCAGACAGTCTTAGTGTAATACCCCAAATTTATAACAATTTATAAAACAATCTAATAATAAATAAATTGTCTAAAAAATTTTTTTTTTTACAATTATAATAATAGAAATATTGCGGAAGCTAATCTAAATCTAATTTGGGGAATGTTACCGCCGCACCTGTACAATGGACAGGTGCAAGGCTAAATCTATTACATTAAAATAACCAAAGACTAAAGTTTAAATAAAGGAAATATGTCTTATGCATTTATTTAAATCTCGTACAATTTCTAAACTTAAAAACTAGCTTGAAATATCCGAGTCGTGATCCTCACTGCCCACAGCTAGCCCCATCCTTTGCAACATGTTTCACTGAAAATCTGCTCTCCCGCAGTCGCAGGATCATTGCAGTCAAACAAACACAAAAGTCAGCAAAGCTGGTAATCCAAATCAAAATACAAAAATAAATAAATAAATAAATAGAACTCATAATAATTAAATCAAGTAATATAACTCAAAAATTCAAATCAAGTATCAACCCGTTATTAATTATATTAATCTTTATTTAGTCCATTTATTGTATTTAGTAAGGGTAATTTATCAACTAACATATTCAGCACAACATTAATCATAATATTACATAAATGGTAATATTCACAACTCGATGACATTCATCATAATCAAGTCAAATAACATTTCATTATTAATCATGTTTAAGTTCATTGTACTTAGTGGGAAGAGAACCATGGTAGACCCGGGAAACCCTGCCAGTCTACCCTGTGACCCGGGAAACCCTGCCAGTCACAAACAAATCATATTGGCCATAATCAATTCACATCTTCCTAGTGTGCACACCTCTTCCCAAAGTTGCTACTAGTATCCCGGGAAACCCTGCCAGACACCACTTTGGAAAGAACGGATATAATCTTTTTCACATCAGTTTCACATCGGAGGCATAAAGCCCAAAAGTTGTGTTCATCACCTTGGGAGGTACCATCCCAAAGCTATCCTCCCACTATTAATTTATTCAATCACATACAATCAATTCAATCTTGTCACGATTCTCATAATTGTCAAATAGTTTTCATGATTTCCACATCAATTTAATCAAGAGTATAATTTCAAAATTCAATCTTTCAATAATATCATAATTTCCAAATCCTTTATAATTTCCAAATCATTTATCCAAGAATATCAAAACTTCCAAATCCAATATTCAGGGTCATCATAACTTCCATATTATTCAAATAGAACATAGGGGGATTAGGATTACATATATCAAACATATAACTACCTAAAGATTAGGATACACCCAATAAAATTTCATACACAACAAATCTACAACCACTTAGAAATTAGGATTACCTGGTCTCCGTTTTCGCTAACTTCTAGAAGAAAAGAATAATTTGGGGCAGAGAACCGGTTGGTAATCAGAAGAATATAAAACAAATTAAACTAAGTTTTTGAACTAAGAAGAGATAATAGTAGAGGAGAAATGTTGAAGAGTGAATTGGTTTAGTTAGGCTAGACCTCTATTTATAGTTGAAGTTTAGGGCTTACAGATTACTGACTCAATGCTGACTCATCATATCTAAACAATTTATGTTTGTTGACTCATCATATCTAAACAATTTATGTTTGTTCACTCATCATATCTAAACAATTTACTAATCAATCATTACTAATCAAACATAAATACATAAATCATCAATCAATTAATAAATCAATTAATCATAATTTATCATCTAATATATATATATATATAATTATCACATAAATCAAATAATATTACTATTATTATCTTACCTCTTATTATTTTAACTATTATTAACTCATTAATTAAAAATATTAAATACCAATATTATTAATTACAAAAATACTAAATATCATTATTATCCAAAAATATTTATTATTATATTATTATTATTATTTTATTAAAAGAAAATATGGGATATTACACTTACATGTACCAACCAAAGTAAATTTCTCCATTCATGAATTCAAGGAACAAGGATCAAATAGATTTCATCTCGCACAATTAAAAATGTAAAGACTTTCAAATGGACAATATAGTTGTACATGTACATCTCGAATATTTAAAACTTCTTTCATACATAATCAGGATCTTCCCCACGGATCTACGTTTACTACAGTAAGTAAAAGGTAGTGCCATATAAACAAACTAGAAAGTATTTACATAAATGGGGGGAGTTTAAGCAAGCTTTTGCATTACTCTAGACCTAGGCTGGCGTCGCACAAGTTAATAAAAAACATACAAAAGTGTAGGTTGTAGAATTTGAATGAACTTGAGTCTGCAATATACGTTACATTGTTGTTGCCAGTGTCGAGCGCTCGGAGACGACTAATTTTAGATCAGATCATTGGAGTCAGAAGCACCTAACAACACATAAATACCACTTCAATAAAATAGACACAACGGGCCAACTACAGTACACCCTTATAAAAAAAAAATTGGTATATCAATGGGTCATTTACACCAATGGGAAGACAAGTTACAAAAAAAATTTAGTTTGAGGAAAAGTCTTGTACATTTTCAATGAAAAGTATGTAACTCGTCATACAAACTTACAAGTTTTTGCACCTGCAATAACCAAAGGCACATACTAACTCAAGAAAAACAGAACCAATGTGCAGTTGAATCTTACGTCTAATTTTTCATCAAATACCAATAGAAATTATCACGTTTTTAAATTTGAGAACCAAAATGCTTTAGTAACAAAAAGAAAGTTACACTTTTCTCAATAAGAAATTTAATAGGAAAAGGGTCACGTGACTTGAATGTTGACAATTTAAATTAATGTTTGAGAAAAAAAATTTAAGAACTAAAACAAATTTTCAAAATTTTAAGAATCGCACGATTTTAAAGTTTGAGTACCAAAGAACATATGACTGAGTTTTTCCCTAAAAAAACTAGGACTTATACTAAGAAATAAAAAGTTTATTTTTTAATGTATATTCTGAAGTGACCAACTGATGCACTATTTTCCCAATGGTATACCACAGAAAAACCTAGAAACAAATTTTATTTTTCTTACTGGATTAAATGTAAGTCCAGTTTATCTTTTTTTTTTAAATGAAATAAAGGAGTCCAGTCCATCTAGCAGAAATGAATACTACTACTTAAGCGCCACCATATGTACAACTTCCCTACTAGATGGCACTTACTCCTCGAGATGTCCCAGGCTACCGGTAAGTCCCAATCCACAGCTATTATAAAATTTGTCCGTTTTCCATTAATGCTTTTCAGTCCTTTCACTCTAGTTACTTTCGTTTCGCCTGGCCCCAAATAGGCGCGGGCATCCATCACAATCATAAACATCAGAAAGAGGAAGAGCGGAAAAGTTAAAAGGTTAACCTTATTCAGCATTCTGCGTCTGGTCAAGCTCGATAAATTCTAGTGCCCTTTCCTTAGACACAACATTAACACGGCTGACCCTGTTTAGATGTGTCACTCCATATATCTTGTCAGCAACTTTTACTAGCTCTGGTCGGAATGTTGTTGTGATAAATTGAGTATTCGCTATGTCTGCCAGGCGTCGGATCATATCTACAGAAGTTCAAGAATCCCAAAAGGTACAACAGTATAATCTAGATGCCACTCAGAATACCCTAAGCATGAACGAACTTTTAAATGTAGATATCACCAAAAGCCCATATCTCAATGTAAATATTTCCCCAACCTTTTCCATTTCAAATCATACTGATTACCGGAATGGATAACCCGAAGCCTAGTTTAGCAGTAATAAAATCAAGAAAAGCATAGTTTATACAAAGTGACAACCCTTCACTAATAGAACAACACCAAAGCTAAAATATACTTCTGTCAAAGATTATCTCTATTCTTTCCTAATAGAAGTACTCAATGGAAGAAAGTAACTCATGCTATGTGGAATTTGTTTTGCCAACAATACTTGAGGAAAGAAAAGAAATAGGAAAGCACGTGTCTAATCATTTTCATTATGCACCTTAATGAAACAAGACCACATGCTCAAGTCTGTAGGCATAAGAAGAATTATTTTCAAAATTGTGGATGTCTAATAAACAATTAAATGAAAAAGCTTTATGTTATTAGGAGATAAGAGGCTCAAAATGTAGATTTAACAATTAAAAATGGGGGAAATGAATGAACTTAGTGTCTGGATCACTTGGTAACAGGGACACTCAATGTTAAGGATCCACATATCTAAGAGCTGTAAGTCATTTGGTGAGAGCGACAGGATAGCTTTTATATTTCCAATGGTTGAAGTCCCACCAATATGCACTAACAAATTTTATGGAATGAATAATGCAGCATGCAACTCCGCCTATGCATGTATGTATGCATGTATGGTCTTTCCCAAATCAGGGTAAGGGAGCATGGTTGGCGTTAGGTGTAGCAAGCCGACCGTAAAAGAAAACAATTATTTATGAGATGAACATGCAGCATGCAGTAAATAACGAACGGAAGAATCACACAGGACCAGTCATTTGACATGACAGGATAGCAAACATAATGGTAAAATGGATACTTCCAACAGCAGTTCTGTATTGTGGATCTAGTGCTGCATCAATCTCATCAAATAGATAAAAGGGGGCTGGATCACATCGCTGTATGGCAAAGATTAGTGTAAGGGCAACAACAGTTTTCTGACCGCCAGACAACTGCTTCATGGACTGTGTCTCTCCTTGTCCAGTAAAAGAGACCTGCAAGGAATAAACATGTCCAGGAATAGATTATAGATATATAAAAACTATTAATGTAGCATTATTCATCAGCTTAAACTTTTGGATTGAATTGATTCTTTACATGATATCAAATCTTCGGTGTAATAGGTTCGATCTTCATCCCCTCCCATTTAATTAATAAATAATTAAGTAGTCTGCTTTGTCGGATAATATAATTTCTTCTTTTGTTTGGATGTGCTAGGTAATGAATGTAATTTCTGTCTAAATGCCAATCAGAAAA